AGACGTTCTTCTACCTAATTCTTTCTCAGTTTTTTGGTAATTTTTTAAATCCCCTGAAAACTAGACACTTGCTGAGTTCAAATTTCATAGTAAGCTTGTTTAGCCATAGTCTGCTGGAACTAGCTTCAAAGACTGTTTTGTTTACTTATCAAATTTATTTGCCATCCATCTCATCCATCTCACAGTTCAAAGTGAGATTCCACAATGGCTAGATTTCTGCCCCAATATACTGCTAGATGGCTAGCATAACATGCAATATGGTCCTTCACTTTGGTCCTATCAGAAAGTTTTCCAATATTCTAAAACAAGCAACCCAAAATGCCTCTTGTTTCCTACAATGCTTCTTACTCAAAATGTTAAACTCTGCTAAAAAAAAAAACATTAGTGAGAAAATTGCATCTCTTAAACTGTCATCAGGTATCCATTTCTGCATTTTGTCAGCCTTTCTCAGACCATTTTCCAGAACCACAGTAAACCTCACATTCAGATGGAAAGGCATTAAAGGGACAGGCTTGTTCTATCTTCCCTATACATAGTATAGAGTTGCACTGTACCCAGGTAGTTTATGGATTGCCCAGATTGCTTTCTGCTCCAGTGGCCCAAGCAAATCAATGGCAAGGTGCAAAAGAGATGATTCTCCCTACAAGCAGGGACAGCCTCTTGCCTGCTTCCCAGTTTGCAAAAGGATGCTCATCACGACTGGGCAAAGGGAGCCTCCAATACATACATGGATCTCCTGAGCTGCCATGTTTTAACTCACAAGCAGCACTAAAAAGCAGCCTTAGTGACTGCTTCACCGGTCCCACTGGCAAACGTCCAAGGCTTCTACTTCTTCTAAACCTGTTAACAATGCCATTTGGTTTCCATCAAGCTCTGATTGGGATTTAACAATATAGACAACTTCTCCTAGTCCCCAGGAAATTTAGATCATCGAATTGCAGGGGGGACAGAATTCCTACATCTGCAGTTCTTCCAGCAAATCCTGCAAATGCACAAGCAGGGACTTTCAGAAGACAACAGCTGCAGAGGAAAATGGAAGAGCTCCTTATTCACAGAATCCTAACAGCTGAGAGGGACCAAAAAGCTACTTTTGCCAATCCCCACCTGCTAAATCTCCACTCCTTTCCCATCCACAGCAGTCCCTATGCAGTTTGCTATGGGGGAGGAGAAAAAAGGGCTGTTGGAATAAATTCCTTCTGATAAGACAGGAAACAAGCCTACCCACCCGTCTTAGTCCCCCCCCCCAAGAGAAACTTATGATGGTTAGGAGAGACTTTTTGTTTTCCTTTAGCAATATGGATTCAAATTGAAAATCCACCCTTCCCCTTCACACCCACTATGTACACACCAGCACAATTGTCATTTGTTCTTAAATTAATTGGAGTATGTTTTTGTTTTGTTTTTTTCCCAATGAGGCCCTATGTATTCTTTTGCAAAATTTCAGTTCTTCCTGCGAATGGCTGCCCGAACGGCCAAGCCCTGGAACTGAAAAGGGTTCTTGGCTGTTCAGCCTCCACAGATGCCCAGGGCTCACAGAAGGGCAGAGATGAGAGGGATATTCTCTGCAAATCTACACCAGCCACACACACATCTGTCAGTGCCCAGCTCCTACCGCCTCAACCTCGGGCAAGATGAGATTTTAAAAACCCAGCCTGCTGTCAACACAGGGCTACTGCAGCCTTCAAGGCAGCCACCCTCTGCAGCAAGGCACCAGTGCCAAGACTTCAGAAACAAGCCAGAATTTACGACACATTCACCCACCCTTTCTCCCCCTTATTCCCTCCATTACTTCAATCACATTTCTGATTTCCCTGAAATCACCAGGCTGGGCTGGGCCAGGCAGCTGAGGGGAAGGATCTCCCTCTGGGGAGATCCCTCAACCACTGCTGCTGAGATAGGTGTAATCCACTCAGGGCTGCAAGGAAAAGGGTCCCTTCCAGGCTCCTCTAGCAGGCAAAGGGCTCTCAGGCATTTTCACCCCCATCCCAGGACTTCCAACCTTTTTACACTTAAAGGGCTCCCCTAAAAGAGAGGAATGCTCCACTTGCATTTTTTTTTCTTATTCAAAGCATAACTTAGCAGAGCCCCCTGAAACTCAGGGACTATTTTCCTGTTCCTTCATTTGAGGCTCTTGCTTTTTATCATAGGCGAGAAACAAGTGAGCAGCACCCCGGAAGAACTGAAAGAGCCTGCCTTTCATCTCACAGGCCACTTCGGATTTTTCCCAAGCCGGGGGAAGGGGGGAGAGCGGGCTATTTCCATCAACTGCAGCTTCCAGGGTGGGTAGCCTGGTAGTCCCTTTTGGAAGCAAATGGAGTCAGACAGCGCAACCTGGGCCAGCATTAGCGCCCTTCGGCAACCTTTGCCCCCACACCCCCCTTGTCTAACAGTTGTGGGTCTTGTGGGTCCGCCCAGCCCATCCCCGGAGGCTTCTTTCCCCGGAGGAGCTCCGCGGCGTCCAATAGCCAGGTGCACCAGGGCGGGAGAGGCTCGTTTGAGGAAACATGGCAGACCAGGCCGGGCGACAGGATGGCCTCTCGGCAGCCCTCTCGGTCAGACTTCAGCGGGAAGCTCGGGCGCAAACCTCAAGCCGCACAAAGCCAAAGCACCGCCTGGCCCGCCTGACCTCGGGGAACTTGGCTTGAGAAGACTGCCGGCGGACAGGCCTCACGGATGCCGCGCGGACTCCCTTGGGCCGGGGTAGGCAACCTTGGCTCTTTTATGACTCGTGGACTTCAACTCCCAGAATTCCTGAGCCAGCTATGCTGGCTCAGGAATTCTGGGAGTTGAAGTCCACGAGTCATAAAAGAGCCAAGGTTGCCTACCCCGGCCCTAGGGGCATTTCTAGCCGGCTGTTTAAATAGTGGGGGGGGGGAGGCGCCGAAGGTCCGCCAACGTGGCCGAGATCGGGCGGAGGCGCGGCAGGGCAAGCCCGCTTCGCCTGGTGGGACTGGAGGCATTTCTCTGCCCGCCACCTTGGAGCAGCGATGGGCGCTGCCGCAAGACTGGCCGTCGCCAAAAGTGAGAGCGGTGGTGGCGGCGTGCGGCAAGCCCTGGATTCTGCGGGAAGCGCCGCCCCGGCGAGACCCGGGGACTGTAGCCAACGCCGCCTTTTGCAGTGGGGCTCGCGAAGGGTCGCGGACTCTGCCTCCTCCCGGTGAACAGGCGCGAGAATGACGGTACTGCTGTTCTTTCGACTGAGGAGGAGGGTCGGGAGGGAGCGAAATAATCTGATTTTATTTTTTTAAAAGGAGGCCACCCTCCCGCCCATCCCTCGTACGTTGCTTATTTCACTGCTCTTCACGGCGTATTAGCGACCCTTTCTCCGGCAGGTCAGGCGAAGATCCACCGGTTCGTTAGGATCAGCACTTTGAGCTCTCGCCTGCCACCGACCTTGCAGCCCTGCCCGAAGTTGGTCCTCACCCACCCGCTGCATCCCTCCAACCTCCAACGTTTCGTTGCTGGAGGGGAAAGAGCCGGGTTTCAAACCCACTTAGAGATCCCAGACCCCTTTGATGCAGGAACTTTGTGGGGTGGCTTGGCTGTTTTTCTGGGCTGTGACAAAAGCGCTCTGCTTACGCTCAAGCCACCCTTGGGTAAAGCTTTCACGGCGCTCGGCTAAGGCCTAGCGAGTGGCCGATTTCTTTCGTCGCTAAAATGAAGCCATCTTCGTGGAAAACCTACCATAACCTGATCCTAGCCTGACTGTTGGGAGCCATCCTGCAAGGCTGGGCGACAAACTCTCGCAGACGTTTTAGTGCAGGAACCGTGCGCGCAGGATTGCGCTGCGCCGCGGCGCCCCAGCAGACCTCGAATTGAATCAGACTCTCTCTGGAATCGACTTGGAACCGCGCCGCGAACAATTTGTATTCCCTTCGCGCTAGCTAGACGCTCAGGACGCCCCCCCCCCTTGTTATTTCGAAACTATCTTAAGGTGCTGCACTTCGCCGGATAAAGCTGGTGTTTCCTGGCTCTTCTTCCCCTCCCCCAGCCCTGTTGTTTGGGGTCTGATCTGCCTTATCAGAGTTTTCACTGACGGCTCAGTAACCAATTTAGAGGAAAAGAGCGTCTGGTATCTCAAAAGGAGTAATTAAGGCGGATGGGTTTAGCGCGCCCTCTTCGCCAGTAAACAGATTAGTTGCAGCCTCCTTTTTTCTTTCAACAAGGCTGGAAGAGTTTTCAAAGCAGCAGTAGATGGTTTTAACAATTCACTGCGCTTTGAAATAGACTGGGAGACTTGAAATGCACCATATGGATTGCCTCAATTCTTTCTTGCACCCTTTTCTTGGCCAGCAAGTTTCATTCAGAAAAGTTCCTAACCATTTTGCAAGAGTTTTCAGCCAATATTGTTGGTATAAAGTTCTTTCTCCCCGCGGAAGAAAGCACACCTGTACGCGCGTGCGTGCACGTGCAGGAACATATGCAAAGGACATCCTCGGATACTGTATTTCTTAGATATTAAGCATAAAAGATGCGGTCGGCTGTTCTTTCCCGAATCCAAGCCACCCACTCACTTTTGAAAATGCAAACTTTTCTATTTCTAGAAGGGAATCTCCCTTCCAGCACCACGACGGTCGGAATTTTCTTATTTTAGAAATGTAAATCTGAAACGTACCTCACATTTAGAACCGATTTACGTCTTTTTGTTAAAGACAGGACAGATTTGGAAAAGTTACATTTTCTCTCCGCCTCCACAAAAATTACATGGCAAGGGGGACTGTGTGGTATGTTTAGATCTTTGATTTATTCCATATGTGACATAGACAGCTAAAAACAACCCGACTTTTCAGTTTGTTACAAAGTCACCATTTTTTGCAACCAACTCAAGTAGGGCTTAAGTTGTTTTTCAGTAAAGGAGCAGAGTTACGGCCGTAGATAAAAGCAGAATCTGACTGAGTAACCCGGGTTGGCCGCTTCCCCCTCTCTCTTGAAGGAAATTGGTTGACAGAGGCAGGTTGGAGATGCCTTGTAAAATAGGAGTGGTGGTCCTTAGCTCTTACCTGCTGCTTGCCCCAAGACTCCCGATCCGGCCAAACGAAGAAGGAGGAGAAATCCCCAGAGCAGAGGAACTGTATCCATTTCGGGGAGGATGGAGAAATCCTTGATGGCCAAAGAGCGATTCCTCCCAAGGCGCGCTGGGATCCGGGAGAGCGGGGATTTTCTTTCGCAACTCTCCGGATTCCGTCCCAGAATTTCCTCTGACGAAGAATCCGGTCCGGTGGCTTCCTTCTCCCGGCTCCGCAATAAACCCACTCCCCCCAAAAGATCGGCGAGAGCTGGAGGGAACTCCTGACGTTCAGCACGAAAAAGAGGCACCGGGCAGCCCTACGGAGGCGCGCTCAGCCGGCGATACACACGGAGCAGAAGAACCGCACGCACACACGCCCAGGAGCACGCGAGAGACCCCCGTTCTTCAGAGCGGCGTCGCCTTTAGCACAGCATCCCTGGCAAGGTCCTTCGCAAAGCCTCCGAGAAAAGAAAAAAAAAAAAAAAAGCGGGCCGCCTTGGCATCGCACCCAGCCAGCCGCGCACCCTCAGTCCTCGCCCGGCGGCGGAGAGCGAGACCGCAGCGACCGGCGCTCCCGGCGAAGGGCGATCTCCCCAGCCCGCGGCGCCCGGCTGCTTCCCCCGCGCGTTGCCACTTCGCTCCCTCAAGCGGCCGCCGGTCAGCTTCACGCCTGAGGCGTTTTCCGGATGCGGCGCCACTAACGGCCACTCGAGTGCTGCTCTGTCGTCGCCGCCGCCTCCTTCCTCCGACGCGTGGGGTCTTGACTGAAGCCGCGCGGACGGGCTTTGCTGCTCTTCCCTTTCTCTGCCTCCGCCTCGGCTTCCTCGCCGCCTTTTCAGGCAGAGCAGCATGTGGATGTCAGACAGAAAGGCAGAGCTATCCGATTACACGCTCGCCCAGGGCCCGCCCCTTCTATGTTTCTCATTTAAACAAAACACCCCGAGAGGGGAGGGGAGGGGAGGCGGGGGGAGCCCGCGAAGCGCCGCGCAGTCCACGTTCAGAACTCGGCGGGGATCCAGCGGGGAAGCGAAGGCAGAGCGAGGCGGTGAAGAAGCCTTCGCCGTCCTTTCCTGCTGCACCAAGATTGAGAGTCTCCCCGGACCGGCCCCGACTTTCTGGGCTGCAGCCCACGCCCGGCTCTTGGCAGAAGCAACAAGTCCGGCGCGGAGGCCTCCTCCTCCTCCTCGCTGGGTGTCTTGGCTGGGGCTGTCGGTGGGGCGCTTCTCCCCGCTCTCGGGAGGTCGCGTGAACGTGCTACATATTGCATCCCTCCATAAAGTGATAGGTATTTAAAATTATACACGCAGACTGTCGACGGAAGGTGATAGCTTCAATGCTTAACAGCTTTCTCCAACTATAAACCGGAGTTCTGCGCTCCAAACACCCACCCACACAAAGAGAGAGACACAAATAACACTTAAAAGGCTGGCAGGAGATACCTTATGTGCTACCACAGTAGAAGGATTTTTTTTTTTTTTGCATAAATCTTGCCAGCAGCATAGTAAATTAATTTACCCCTGGGAAAATGATAACGATTCAGCCTAAGACCGAGATTGGCTCACATAACTTGTGGTAATTGAAAAAAGAGTGGACATGTTTTTGCTTGGGTAAGAGTTATACCGGTTATACAAAACTCTACCTTTGGCAGCATGAAATCCGATGTAAGCCATGGCATAATATGGGCATTGTGCATTTTTTATCCAAAGTCTAGATCAAAATAATTTTACTTACTCTGTCATCATACGCTGCTGTGGCAATATATACACATGGCATCTAGCTAACCCCACTGGGAATGGAAGAAAAGCAGGATCAGTTAATATTTGTATGGGAAACCTTGTGGGAGATTTTGTAGGCTGGACTGGGTAGCATTTTTTTCCTTTCAAATCCCAGAAGAAATAGTTGGCAAATTTTGCTGGATGCAAGTTCCTGGAGGTGCTCATGAAGTCACCCACAGGGACCTTAGAATATTTTGGTCCTGGAACAGAAGCAGGTGCAGCCTATTCCCTACACACACACACACACACACACACACACACTCTTCTACCTGGTCCCTGGGAAGCAGGCAGGACACGTGCAACAAAACCACAGCAGCTGATTCTTATGACAAGGTCTGGCATGGTACCCTGTGGATATGCCAAGATGCTGCTGCTAGTTATGGAAACAGTCATGAGAAGCCTATTAGCACACTGGCTTTTCTCATAAGAACTGCTTTGGAAGCACTCCCAAGGCATCTGCTGAAAACCCACGTGCCATTCATACATAGGCTTCCCTGGGCCCAATTGGTAAGGATAGTAAGAAAGGGCCCTTTGGCACCATTCCTATAAGACTGGGCTGCTCAGTTTCCACCAGTGTTCAGTATGTTGTTACAGAGAAATCATCAGATGGGCCAGTGAAGCATAGGCTCTGAAAAAATTCCTAAGGTAGGTTGAACAAACGATGTGCTGATCATGGTCTGTACTTGGCGCCAGGTACAAGACTAATCATTATGAACTGGCACAAGTCAATCAGGACAGTCAATCAAGTTGTAATGCTGGTCCTTATATAAATTGTTGGAAGTAAATGCCATTGAACTGAGGCATATTTCTGGAGATAGCTGGTATTCAAGTATTCTTGAATGCCAAGAACAAAAAGAATACTGTGACTTCAGTTAAAGCCTAGAATTGGGTTGCTTGCACCCACACAGATCAAATCTTCTCTCATCTCCCCCCCCCCAAAAAAAGAGGGGGAAACCAGGCACTTCACTGCAGTTCTTAGACACTGGCTTTGTGCTGGAGGAATGGGTATAGAAATGTCCTTGGAAAGCCAATATTTTGATTGAATCTCTAAAGAGCAATATGAAATCATGTCAAGTCAAAAAAGAATAAGTACTAAGGAAAAGAAATAGACAGAGATATAGGGGAGATGAAATTGGCAGATTAAGAAAAAAAATTTTCATGATGCTATGACAAAGAAGTGTCACTGCACCAAAAAGATGAAGTGCTTGTACCTGGTGACTATCCATAAAACCTCACCACGAAATCTCATCTAAAAGCATCACCAGAAGAGGGCAATGGCAAACTGTCTCCCTATTGGTGCTGAGAAAATAATGCTGATATGGCCAGATAGTCACCAGAAGCCGAGCCCATCTTGAGGAAGAGTTTGCCTTTATTTTATGGTAACAGCTATTCTAAAAAGGATTGAAAGACAGATGGCTTCCCCAAGCTGACACTTTCCAGATTTACTAGACTAAAATATTTGGCCAAGGTAACTGAAATTGATGGGAATTGCTATCTAGCACCTTTGGGGAAGACTGCTCTATATTTCTTGTGTTTTTAAAACATGTGTGACTATCCTAAGGCTACATTAATATTTATTTTATTCTTGTTTTAATTTCAGACACATATTTGTCTTAGTATTTTGAATGAAAATCTGTAATGCTACATTCAGAGAGATGGGGCAATCAAAGAAGAACTATGTATGGTATACCTATTACTTAGTCTCATGAGTATTTAAATTTGGTTAAAACACTCTGTAACTTTCCCTGGTTGTGAACATTTACACAGAAGGAGCACACTGTCCTCTGCACTGCTGCTTATCAGTCAAACCTTAATTTCTTCTCCCACCTTTCTCTTACTTTCTAATGTACAGTATATCAGAATCCTATCAGAATCCCTAAGAGTGGCATGTACAAGCACTCTACGTAAATATTTAAACTTTTGCAGAGGGTAGAAGAGATCATCCTGCAGTTTAGCAAAAGTACCAATTTTCAAAAATACCATTCAGACTCCATAATGATGCTTCTACATTTCCATGTGCTAATTTCACTGGATTTTTGCTTTGTTACAATAGCACTCAGAAAGATTTACCATTAAAGGGCTACAATAGAGTTTAGGGCAAATGTAAGGATCACTTGTTTTCAATTTAATTTTCTGAAGAGCTGCAAACATTTTTCCTAAAACTAAGCTGGTGGCAGCATGGGAGCCATACTTGCAATCAGTTGTACTTCCCCTTCCCTGTTGTGCAGTTTCTTGTTCCTTGAAGTTTGAAAAGTTCTGCACACCAGTGAAGATCTGGCTTTTCTCCAGTCCTACTGGCTTTGTAATGGAGAACGTTTTGTTTTACATTTATTGAATATTTACTATATTTACATACTGTCAATATTTACATACTGTTTGGATGCCTTATAGTAGAAAAGCTAGGCAAAAACAATTTAAATTAAATAAATTAAGCATCCATCACTAAGCTAGACTAGTCAAAATACTTTGTGATTGCAGAAAAAACCACAAGATTATTTGGGCAACTGTATCATATCTACTGCTTTCTTTCTCCAGCTTTTACCAACCCTGACAATGTCCCACCCCTTCCCCTTCCTTTCCCTTCCATCTCTCTTTTGACAAATACTACACAGCCACTTTTCATTGTTTTGTTTTAAAATGTTCTACAATTAAACCTCTTTCTTCAAACAAAATTGGTAGAATTTCTAGCTACACCAGAGGGACACAAGCTGTACCTCTTGCTTTAGGCTATTTCTCTTCTTTAGAGAAGGAGGAGGGGAACATTGGATGATCTGTAAGGATTACTGAGATAATCCAACATTTTAAACCTAGAAAATAAATGGTGATTATTTTCCCAAGATGACTCACTGTTTTTCTTTGGGAGCTCAATTTTGCATTGCACAGAACTTCTCAACGGATCTGGCCCATTTTTAGTACAGCTTATAAAAAGTTCTTCTGTTAAAACCATCTGATAATGATATATTTTTGTCTTTATGACAAATTGCACCTGCTCACTTGAGACATTGTAAACTCTGTCACAGATGTCTAAGAGGAGTTTTTGATATCTACTGTTTAGTTTTGTTCCGAACCAAGAATAATTTAACAGGCTGGATGTGTGTGTGATTTAGATATTAACTAATTAACAAGCATGTTATTTTCAGAAAGTTTACACATTGTTATTGAGGAGAAGAGGCAAGGTGTCTAAGATCAGGACACCTGGAAGAGCTGGTAATGTAAAGTTTAACTGTTTTGGTTCTTTAGAGGTCGTAAAATCATGTTTGGCATACCTGAAGAGATGACATTTAATAATCATTTTCCCTGCATGATAGAATGTTTTAAAATACATAAATTAAACCAACGCATTTTGTAGTCAGTGGAATTTGTTTGAAGTCAGTGGAATTTGTTTGGATTGATCAACAAAAATTGCAAATTGTGTTAGTTGATTCTTACTAATAAAATCTATATATTGCTGTGATCCATCATATAAAGAAAACTCTCAGAAAAGTTTACTCATGTACAGGCTTCCTTCTAACTGAAACCAAGGGAATTCCTTAAGCAGATTTTTGTTAAATAATTGTAAGTTTTACCTTGATTATTGTTTCTATTTCTAAACATACAGACATTTCAATTTTTTTCTATCTCACCTGCCATTAATAGCAGTTTGTTAATGAAAACAGGAGTGTAATTCACTGAATTTTCAACATGAAAGTGTGACATTTTAATGGCTAATTTATGGCTTGATTCCTTTCAAGCTAGCCTTGCATGCCTTATTTGTTTATTTATACATTTATAAATAGCTCCAGGAAACTGTAACAGAGTGTCCAAATTCTTATCTTGCTATTACAAAAACATATTTTTTGAGAGCGGTGAAACACAACCATTAAGGAGAGTGGGGGAATATAATAATTAAAACTGACATAATCCTAAATATATCCAGTAGGATGGCAAAATAAATATCTGTCAAATACAATAGGAGATTTACTAGTGTAAAGTTTGTGTTTAGGATGTTATACAATGAATGAAGTCCACATTACAAA